TCTTTTTTAACACAGCTTCCCATGATCCCTCAGGAGAGCTTGAGTAGGTCTCCCACTGCCAGGAGTTACATGAGCTCTGTGCTTCCACCGCTTGCTGAACCAGGACCACTATCTGTGCGACTAGAACCCTTCATGGTATCTTCTCAACCACTCTAGTGAAAGCACATCAAGGATTTGGGGGTTATGCCACATTTCACAAATACAAGCAGTGACTAATCATTAAACATTTCCATAATAATGTGGAATAGGCCAATTAAATGGCATGTAATGACATACAGATAACAAACCAACAATGGATTAATATTGCTGTGGTGTTTCTACACAGACACAATCTGCTGAATGCTATAAAGGGTTTGACAACTATAGGTGGTGCTACTGGGGTCTCCTTTGCCACTATTTAAAAAGGTCCAGCCCAGGACCTTTTTAAATTCTTTACCAGACTTCAATGGGTTGTTAAAGAAAACACCCTTCTTACCAACTAAGCAAAATTTCAGAATAGGAATACAATCTTAAAAGAAAATCGCAACTTTCAAATGTAGTTATATCCTAAAACAAAACAAAATATTATGATTAATGTAAATTCTTAAATAATTAGAAATAATAAATTTATTGAAAAATAATTGTCTTCATTTTTTCCACAGAAGTACGATTTGTTATATTGCCACCAGTAAATTATTGTTAGCTATCTTCTGGACACAAATGTAATTTCCTTATCAATACCCTAATTATTCATTCTATTTCTACTCAACACATCCTTTAATTAATTGCCCTACTTCCCAGACTTTCCTCTAGGGATAAAGACCACATATCATGAGGCAAAAGCAAAGGGCATTGGATGTCTCTGGGAAGTTTTATCTATTTAGAAGCCTTAGTGTTTCGAGGGACATGAAAACTTTCATCTAAGGGGCTAGAAAGAGACCCCTGACCTCACAGTCATCATTAGAGATGCCTTGAATTATGGAGTAAAAGTTTGTTTACATTATTCAAGCTAGTTCACCACCATAGCAAGAAACATAGATGCTGTCTAGAAATAAAGACTGGCCTCAGCTGGAATTTCTGTCATGCAAAACCTCTCAGGGATCTGAGGCACAGCTAATAAGACATTGATATATTAAAAAACTCTCAAACAGGTATTGTTAAAAAGTGTCCTTCTACTGGGTACTGTGGCACATGCCTGCTCTCTTAGCACTTAGAAAGCTGAGGCAAGACAATTGCCATGAGTCCAAGGTCAGCCTTGGCTACAGAATGAGTTCAAGGCCAGCCTGAACTAGTCAGTCTTTCAAAAATGCAAAAAGAAAGTGAAAAAAAAATTCTTTTGAATCAATAAGCTGGATTTTTTTTTAAAAAGTCTTTAAAAATCCCAAGGGCAGGGCCAGAATTCAGCTCATAAGCACCTGCCTGGCAAGTGCAAGGCCATGAGCCTGAGCCCTGGCACCAGAAAAATAAAATCATCTTGACAGCTACTAAAATAATTTAGACAAATCATAAATTCACAATCTCTGATAGATTACATGTTAAAATCTTCTTACCATCTCCATTTGGCAACCAGTGGCTTCTAAAGGTACAGAGTCTTGAACAGTGTTTAACACTGGCCCCACAGCAGCAAAAAGGCAGAACAATGCAATCTAAAGATGTAAGAAAACTGCAACACTCGTATGATTAAGAATAGAAGTAAGAATATTAACATTTCTGGAACTCCCCAAAATTACTGGTAAATCCAACAACTGGTCACAATAGACACTCTAGGAATCTCCCCAATTCTAATCTGTCTCCCAAAGGTTTAAAATCATATCTTTATAAGAAAAATTTGAAAGCCAAATGGTACTTTTATAAAATGTACTCACTTACAATATGTTTTCATTGGTTTGAAAGACCAGATAGATATAAACTGCTCGATTTCAAAGATATTAAAACAAGGTTCAAATCTTTTAGAAAAAAAACAATGTAGGGAAATAAGAAGCACATCTGTACCTGTCCTACTGTATAGAAGTGAGACAATATTTGACGGTAGGGGCTCTGTAGATCAGCTTAATGGATGAGGGCTTTATTCTATGTGTCATGAGCAACCAATGACATTACCGAGCTTATGTTTTAGAATACTGATTCTGGCTTACATAGGGAAGATCAAAGGAGAAGCAGCAAGAAAGGAAGCAGAGAGACCAGGAAGAAGGCAGTGACAACACTGTAATTAAAAGATGAGCAGCCAAGCAGGGTTCTTGGAGTGAAAAGTTAAGGTAGATCAGGAAATATTTTGGAAGTAGTGCTGACGGAACTTTGGGGTGGACTTAAATGAGGTGCATTAGAGAAAGAGCAGACTTAAAGATAGATGAAGTGTAGGTTCTTGTTTGAAAAATTTGATATATATATGAAGAAGCCATGTACCAAGGTGAGCAACTACACTATTGCAACTGATTTAGGGCAAAGCTGCTGGAGGCAGGCAAGGTAAGTGTGAGCTGCCCTGTAGAGGTACAGTATAAGTGGAGATATCAAGGGGGCAGGTAGCTGGTGACAAACGCCGAATTGAGAGGATGAATCTAGGTGAAGAACACATGGATCTATGATATTCCAAGTGATGGCACTGATGAGAATACCTAGAATAAGAGATCCAAGAACAGCGCTTAAAGCTTTCCTACATGTATCAGGTTGGTAGGACAGGAGAAGGGAGCAAAGGAGATAGAAGAGGAACCAGTGAGGTCAAATGAAAATTACGTTAGTGTGGTACAATGTAGGATTCAAGCAAAACATGGCAAGGAGCTGGGGTCAAGCAAGCCAAGTGCTACAAGGCCAAGTGAGATGCTGACCACAACTTGCTCAGTTCTGGCAAGAGGGAGACCACTGGATACTTTGATGTGAGTTCACCTGGTGGTATGATAGGGACAAAAATGGTATCCAAAAAGAGAATGAGAGGCAAAGAAAAGCAGTGGAAAATTCAAAGGGTTTTTATTTTCAGGGTAGAAGAGAATAGGGGTGACAGCTAGAGAAGCTAAGGCGTCCAGGAAGTTGTATTCTAGAACAGCAATTGGACATATTTCTAGAGGAGCATAAATAATCAGGTTAGGAAGGAGAAAGTGATCAGATAGGAAAGAGGAGTGAGGCCCTTGAGAAGGCAGTGAGAGCGGGCCAAGTGGGGCAGCCTTGGAACAAGCTGCGCTGCCTCTGTCTCCGTCTCCTGCTGTCTCTACCTCTGCTCTCTGCATTTCGCCCACACTGACATCCTCACTTTGCTCCAAAACACTGCTTCCGGTACTTTGCCACTGCTGTTCCCTCTGGCACAACCTGAACTCCAGGGATCTGCACAGCTCCCTCCTTCACTTTCTCAGCCTGATCTGACATGGGGCTCTCTGAAATGGAACAGTCCCTGCCCTCTACTCCATAGCAGACGGCCCACCCCCATCTAACTCCTTGATCCGTTTTCTCCCCCACAGAATACACTCTTATGTACTCCTTGATCTACTTAGGTCTTCGGATAATGTATGGTCTCTTGACTAAATCCTGACAAAAGACAAAACTAGAAGCAAATAGCCCCATTAAGCCAGTCTTGAATTCTTGACCCACAGAAACTATCAAAGAGGGTTTTGCGATATAGCTCAACACCACAAAACCTGCCTGGTAAACTCCACGTTATGAGTTTGATTTGCAATATTAAACAAAACCAGAAAAAACTATCAGAGTTAATACATGTTTATTGTTCTTTTCAGTTGCCATTTGGGCATAATTTTTAAATTAAATTAAATCGTTTGACTTCTATTGTATTAGGTAGCCAGTGATTTGTTCAGTATAAAGACAAAGGTGGGTCATAGGGTTTTCTTAGCAGAGAGGGTACTCCAGGTGTGGAATCCTGAGACCTGACCTCACTTCCTTGGCAATGCATCCAAACGGAACTGGGGAACCTGCCTCAAGGCTCCCACCGAAGTAACAGCTATCTCTTGATCTGCTGGTCTTGAGAAGCTCAACAGCTAGCATGCTGAGCTGCATCCCCACTCGGCGAGGCTGAGGTCGAGACCAAGACCATGGACGAAGGAGCCTGGGCAGGGAGAGTCTGTGTGAAAGGCTCAGGAGGCGCTTGACTCCAGCTGCAGGCCACTATGGGAGAGAGACTCCTCCCTCTCAGACACCCCAAGGACTGCGGCCTCAGGACTGTCTCCCGGAGAAACATCAAGTTACCTGGCTGACTTCTCCTCAAGCCAAAGTAGCAATGGCACCATAAAGCCAGAGGTTCCAGTGCGAGTCTCACCTGGCCAAGAAAATTCCAGGAGCTTTGGCCAGGACTCCCCACATCCGGGCACACAGCCCCCAGAGATGCACAGTGGTCTGAGGTGGGAGACCCCAGTCTCAGCCGCAGGGCCCAGAGCCACCCTGAAAGACCCAGTGTCCATCCACACTGGCCTGACCAACCCTGGAGATTGCTTTGCAGGGGGCCATGAAGAAATCAGGGTGTTGTCTTCAGGGCGGTGGCTCAGGCCACACTTCCTCCACGAGCCCTCCATGCCCGACTTCCTGAATGGGGAACCCTACTTGGGCCCTTCTTCCCCAAAACCTCCGGGACCCACACCTCTACCCAACAGGCTCTGAAGCTTGGGGAAAGAGTCACCACACCACCTTTGGGGACCTCAAGCCCCTTGCTGGCCCGCTGGGATGATTTCAGACAGGTGGGCTGTTTAAACACTGAGCAGCTTTTCATCCCAAAAGCTGTACCCCAGGAAGGAGATCCCTGCACCACATCACCTTGGGAATTGAAAGACTCCACTGCCTCACCTGGGCTCAAGAAAGAGTCCCAGCTCTCCATCCACACATTGCCCTGTGCCACAGAGCAATCCGAGTTGGCTGGCCCAGGAGCTGCCTCCATCCAACACGGTGCTGCCTCCATCAGGGAAGAGCTGGGCTACAGTGCAGGCCACAGTTTCCGGGCCAAGCGCTTCATCAGGCGAGTTCGCTGTGCTGTGTGCAAGGACCTTGCAGGGGGATTGGGGCGCCGGGCATACATATGCACCCATTGTAGAATGTTGGTGCATAAGAGGTGCCGCATCCAGTGTGGGCAGTGTTGCTCCTTTCCATCGGAGCCAGTGATTCCTGGGAATCCACCACCCCGGGTTTCCGAGCAGGCACATGCAGGGAGCTCACGTCACCCTCCCAGTGTGCACGGTTCGGAACAGGGCACCAAACACATAGAGTTCACCAATGCCCAGGAAAATGACCAGGCCTCACCTGCTTTGGGTTTGGAGCACTTTCATCTGCTCAGGGTGATAGGCAGAGGAAGCTACTCTAAAATACTGTTAGTCCAACTTCGAAACACAGACCAGACATTTGCCATGAAAGTAGTCAAGAAAGGACGCATCCACAGTCACCGGGCTGAGACCGAGAGGCGAGTGTTGCAGCAGGTAGTGCACCACCCTTTCCTCGTTGGCCTGCATGCTTACTTGGAGACCCAAAGTAAAATCATGTTTGTCCTGGACTATGTCAGTGGAGGAGACATCATGTTCCACCTACAGAGAAAGAGAACTTTCCCGGAAGCACAGGCCAAGTTTTACTGTGGCGAGATCGCCTTAGCAGTCAACCATCTGCACCAGCACGGCATCCTCTACAGAAACCTCAAACTCGACAACATACTGCTGGACCCCCAAGGGCACATCAAAATCACAGATTTCTGTGTAAGTAAGGAAGGAATGGGGCCCAGAGACCTGACCAGCACCTTGAGTGGAACAGCTAATTACCTGGCTCCTGAGATAATCCGAGAAGTGTATGGATTCTCTGTGGACTGGTGGGCCCTCGGAGTGATAGCCTTTGAGATGATGGTGGGAGAGTCGCCCTTTGTAGTTGCAGAGCTCCCTGAGGCCTCCGAGGAAAAGTCCATCGCGCACCTCCTGCGCTTGAGAGTGGAAAGCCGCATTTCCATCCCGGGCTGTCTCTCTGTGGAAGCTGCAAGCGTCCTGCATGCTTTTCTAAACAAAGATCCCAAGCAGCGACTGGGTTGTCGACCTCCAACTGGACTGGCAGATATTCAGAACCATCCTTTCTTTCACGATGTGGACTGGGACAGGATGGAGCGAGAGCAGGTGTCACCTCCCTTTCAACCCAGTATATCTGGAGACTTGGGTTTGCACAATTTTGATTGTGTGTTCACGCAGGAACCTGTCCAGTTAACTCCTGATGAAAACGGCTCCATAACTGAGGGATCTGAAGTTTCGGACTCTGAGTACATCTCTTGCCCATCCATGGATGAAGAATGGTGGGATCATTTTCCCACTGTGCCTTTTACTTAGCTTGACATTTCACGCACGCAGAACTTGAACCAGCTTAAAGTCAACACAGCCTTTCATAAGTGTTTGGAAAATAATATAAATGTATTGTTATAGTTACCTTTAGGTGTGATCCTTCATTCTTGTAGTCTATACTAGAAAATAGATAATTTTCAGTTATTTTTGATGCATTTACTGTTTATGATTGGACTTCAAAAAGAGTGAGTCAATTGCTTGTGAACCAAACTTGTCAGCACATTGCATTTGTTGAGCAGAGATAGCATGTATGTTAGTTCCGATGTGTTTTAGGATTCAGGAAAATGATTTGCTTTTTAAGTACAACATCACAACTATGCTTGTTTCTCTCCAAAACATATTGCCTATACTTTTGGTAGCCAGTTTTCCGAGTCTTCAGGGAAAGCCAAAAATTACAGCCATTTTGAATAGATCTGAGGAAAACACATGTATTTTACTCTTATCTCCTTAGGTAAGTTGATTTTGTAGAATAACACAGGAAATAAATAGTAGCAGTCATTTTGAGACAGAACTCTTCAAAGTCTTCTTATTAAAATGTTTGGTTAGTATTTCATTACACAATTTTCAGATATAACATTCCTGTACAAGTACCATGATTGACACAAAGGACATGAAATGTAGCTATCCTCATCTAAAGGAGCTACTATACTACAATCTTAGTACAATTTAATTTTAGTGTTTTAATTTAAAACACTATATAGTTTTCAATGAAGAATGATTTAAAAGTTGTATTTACTCAAATATATTTTTATCAACATACTTATCGAGAAAAAAATATGTATATGTATATATGTTTATCTTTGTTGGAGTCCCCATTTCATGAGAAAAATAACTTTCCCAAAGTTTACACTCAAAAATTGTCTTTTCATCTAATAGTTAAGTTGAAAGTCCAGAAAGTATCTAAGGAAAATGTTTCCATTCAGTCACATGTTCATTTCCAAGGTGTGTGTTTCTCTCAAAACCTGGAACTTAGTGTCAGACAAAAAGTAGCACACACAACATACACTTACAGAGAATTCTGTTTTGTCACAGATACGCTTGCCATCTTGCTTTGAAATGTTCCTCTGCCCTGTGGGGCATTTCAGAATACAGGGGAGTCACAGAAGGGGTTTGTATAAATTGTTTCTTACTGAGCCCACCTTATGGTCCTTTAAGGCATTTGGCTTTCATTTTGAGAAAAACTTTCTTCAAGTTATTGTTTTGCCCTGAAGTTCAATAGTAGAGAGTACACCCATGGTACACAATCTTTAGATTGTACTGAGTGAATAACAACCTTGTGAATATTCTTAAACAAATTTTAAATTAATGACTGTGTTAGATATCTCATCCCCCCAACAAATGTCAGAAACATTTTAACCAAGCTCCTTGTGTGATTATCCTACATTCTGAATGCCCCATAAGGAATAGCAACAATTCAAAGCAAGATCACAAATGTTTTTCTGATGAGGCAGAATCCCATGTAGATGTATGTAGTGAGTTCTATTTTTTGTTTTATAATAAGTTCCAGGTATTAAGAGAAAATCATACACCTTGCAAATGAACATATGACTGTAGAGAAACATTTTCCTTGGATATTTTCATGATTTTCAAACTTGACTCTTAGGAAAAAAGAATGTATGACCATAAGTTTTAGGAATGTTCTGTTTCTAATGAAATGAGACAATCCAGAAAGATAAAAACTTACTAGTTTTGTAACAAGGCTTTACAAAGAGCATTTTCTTCATCAAGGTTTTAACTCTTTTTTAGGGTGCTCTTATATTTTCAAAGGTTTTTAGTAGTAAGACTTACTGTGTATATTTCAAGCAGAATAACAGTACAAGTATGTTTTGAACTGTGTTCAATTTGTGCCATCTTTAAGTGTCATGCCGGTACTTTCCGTGCTATATAGAAGAACTCTCAAAAGGTAATAAGGCAGTAGCCAGCCACAATGGTTGGTAATTTGGGGTTCTAGGCTATAAATGAATTCGGCAATGCCTGTGATCAGATTATACTTTGTAAGTGCAGCCTGATTAAAATTCAAGTACCTCATTCTGTGCCTGTACATTTACTTTATAATCTGTTTTGTTATGATTATTGTCATGTACAATATGGCCTTGATCATTATAATGTGATATCTGCTTCTGTACCTTCTGTTTCATCTTTTTAATAAAATACTTAATAAATACAGAAAAAAATCAAACCTGTCTTTATTAGCAATTGACACCATAGTCTGAGCTTTATGATCAAGTCTGCAGAAATTTAAAGCACTAATGAGTAAATCAGGTTAGCATGCATTTTTGGAATTTTAAAAATCAGTTTTCTGAGAGGCTGAGAGAAGAGGATCCTGTGTGAGATCAGCCTGCGCGACTTAGCTAGAAACTGATGTAAGGAAGGAAGCCGGGAGAGAGGAAGCGTGGCAAAAAGACAGGAAGGGCAAAGAGACTGGGGTGTAAGCAGAACCAGCCCTTTGATATTTCCTTTGAAAGTGAAGCATGCATTTGCAAGTTGACCCAGTCACTCTGTTTCAAGCTATTTCCTCAACAGATAAGCAAGGAGATCTCTAGAAAGAAGTAGCCATGGATGCTGATGACTTCTTTGCAGCACCCCAAGTAAGTAAAGTGCTACTTTTGTTTCCCATAAGCAGTGTCTCAGCATTTCAGTTGTTCCATGTTCTCACCCACATTTGGCATCTTAGTCACCTTTAATATTAGCCCTCTTAAATGGACACAGCTTGAGACCATAATAATAAGTGAAGTAAATCAAACTCACATGTATAAATACCTAATAGTTTCCCTAGTGTAAGAAATGATAAGAATACATGAAAGTATGTGGTAATCATGATTCCCAGTTATATTGGTTTGAAGCCATATAATGTTTTCACTCATTAATTGGAGTGGTTTTAATCTGGAGTTTTCGATTTTATTGTCTGTGATAGTACAAATAGTTATTTTGAAGAAAACAAGACATCATAATAGCTAGTGCTGATTTAATATCATCTTGTTTTGAAGTCTCATCAAGCTGTTGTTCGTCTGTTTCCATTGGTTTTAACATATTGCATCTTATATTTTAATATATGTGATAGTATAAACAAAATTTTTATAGGTAAAGAGATAATACAGAAACCATTGTTCATTTTCTGTTAGCTGGTTCTAAATACCCTGCAATACTTTCATTCTCTTGAATGGGTTCACACTATCTTGATATGTTTGATGCTATAATATACGAAGTTATACTCAAATATTTCAAGGAAAGAGACACTGTAGTAACTACTATTATGTCAGTTTATCTGGTGGTGAAACACTATGATGCTTAAATTGTTCTGTTCTGACCTGTGTTGTTCTATTGTTATGTCCTCTTTTATCTCAATGTCCCCTTTTTTCCTTTTTTTTAAAATTAATTTTTTCTTATTATTTTTTAATTAAGGGAAAATAAATTAAAAAATAGTAGGATATATTATAGTAACTTTTTTGTTTTCCTATTAACCTGATTTGAACTCCTGTATTGCTCTCCCCATCTTGTTTTGACTGATTTTACTCTATTCTGTTTTGTTGTATCAATTCTGTTGTTGATAGTATCAAGTTTGAGGATATAGGAAACCACTTTGAAGACAATGAGATTTAGTACGATGCCCATTATGGTTTGACTATTATCTTCTTTTGAAGTCCTGTAAGGTCTCCAATGTTTAGGTTTTATTGGTTTTGTTCTGTACTGTTTTGTTCAAGTCTATGATACCTGATGATACAAGCAACTCTTTTTAAGATAGCAAGAGGCATAATGGTAACCATTGTTGATCTCCTGATATTCTGTTTTTACATCATGTACTATGTCCATCCTTCTGTTCTAACTGCTGTTTTGCTTTGTCCCATTTGGTTTTTTCTCTTCAAAAAAAAAGTAAGAAAGAATTGTGGGAGTAATAAAACCCAAAATGTGTAATTGTTATTGTAAAAAAGAGAGGAAAAGAAAGTCATCTAAAGGATATAACTGCATGTATATTTAAGTGTATAAAATAGAAAACCATATTACTAAATTTTTGTTGAATCATTGAACAGAACTCTTTACAATCTCACTGTTTGAATGTTTGCTCAGTATGCTTTAATTTTGTAATTTGAACAACTGTTTCTAAGATGACAATATGTAATCTACTAACTAGTAATTTTTTACTGTATATTTTTTCTTGAATTTCTATATTACTTGTACCCTTTCGCCATTTTGTTTTGTTCTCTTTAATTAAAAAAAGAAACTTTATGACCAAATTTTTAAAAAAATTTAGCCATCTAGGTCATTGCATAGTGTCATCACATTTCTTTCTTGATGTTATTTTTTGCTAGTAGGAAATCATTTTTGATTTTTTATTTTCAAATAAAATATAATAAACCTGACTTTTAAATTGTGGTAATAATCTGAATATGTGTGAACTGGTGAATGGAGCAACAAATTATGTTTTCTTTTATCAATATACTGGAATGTCAGCAATGAAAAGGGAGAAACTTTGCTCCACTGGAACACAAGGATAAATCTCAAAATGAGTGGGTTGAGTGAAGAAAAGGCAGGAGCAGAGGCATATTGTATCCTTTCATTCATATAAAATACAAGCTAATAATCACGTGTCAGAAATCAGATGAGTGATTGCCTGTGCACAGGAAGCAGAAAGCACCATGTTCCCTGCCCTAACAGCTTCAACGCTCATTAGGTATACCTGTCTAAGATATTAAGTTACAGAGAAAGCCCAGTCAAATGCATTTTGAAAATCAAAGAATAAATTTCTATATGCAGAAAATGGATAAAACACATTTTTGGAAAGATCTCAGTGTTTTTCAAGATTCCAGGTATGACAATATCTCTAACTTTCAAGTAAAATAGTGAGACATGAGCAGGACACTTTGTCTGTTAGGACACAGCTTCTTAGGTGTAAGGACTGAGGTTCTTACCGAACTCCTTTTTTCATCCAAAGTTTAAGATCTGCACGGCAGTGATGCCACAACATGGGAGAGTTTATGAATGTGGTTACC